CTGGCCACACACACACAAAATAAATAAATAAATAAATAAATAAATAAAAATTAAAAAGAAAATCAGTACAGAGATTCCTCAGAAAACTACAACTAGAAATTTCATTCAACCCAACTATTTCCCTCCTATGTATCATCCCCAAAGAATGAAAGACATCATGTTGCCGTGATGAATACATATTCATGTGTCTTGCAGCACAGGTCCTAATAGATAAATATTGGAAACAGCCCATGGTTCATCAACAGATAAATAGGTAAAGAAAATGTGACATTTAAACATAATGAAGTACTGTTCTGCCATAAAGGAAGATAAAATTATATCATTTGTAGGAAAATTCATACATCTTGAGATGATATTAAATGAAATAAATCAGATGCACAAGATTAAATATTGCAAGGCCTCTTTTACATGAGAACCACCTTCCCCCCACACACAAAAGGAGCCAAATGGCAACATAATTGGAAAATAAAAGTCTCGTGTATTGTTTTCTTAGAGAACCCACATTTATAATTTGCTCATTTTATTCCTCTACACCTTTTCTGAAGCATACTAAAATAGAAATAATTGAGTATCATATTCTTTTCAAAACAACTAAGAACATGCAATTCGCAAATAATTATTGGGTTGGTTTTCGAATTCATAAACTGCCCATCTCATAAACCACACTTTACGAACTGTCACCAACACCAACTCACATACATAGCTTACAGTCATTTCATCTAAGCTTTAATTCACTGGCAAATGATGATATTTTATAGATGCTTATCATAAATATGCAACCATTTGTTCAGCTTCTAAATTGATATTTACCTTGGGAAGTACAGATAAGATTTTCCCAAAATAACTGTCTGAAGATTTAACTTTGACCAACACATTAGAAAACAGATAGGCATAAAGTAAGAGAGATGCACAGAGATATAAAAACCTATAGGAATAGTGCGCACAACTTAAGCAGCCTAGGTTCAAATCTCAAATTCTCAAGTGCTGAAAACTCTACCACTGAGTATTAATTCTTAAAATGAAGAAAACTATTTAGTCTTTAGGAGTGCTCATTTGAAATTCAAATATCTCTTTAAATGAGAAAACTCTTAACTTTTCTTTCAATTTACCTTTTAGTCGTTAGTTTCCAAACATTACAGACCAAGGGCCTGTAAGAATGGGAGCAA